CGATTCTTTGGGGAAAGAAAATCGATTTTTCAGACTTTTCTGAAACATTAGACCGATTCAGTGAATCGATCCAAAAACTCTAAGGATCAGACTTAATCACATTACAGGCAAATCACCATATAGTGAAAAGATGTTTATTAACGATATATTCAGTAATTGAACTACAGTTGCAGTTATTAAATTATAGCTAATTGCATCGATTGATTTCGACTGATGACAAAAATTAATCGATGTCATTGACTGAAATTTAATAACTGCAACCGTGCTTCGATTCCGGAATATGCCTTAAGATGTATGTATGCTATTTTGGAACGCAACGTTATGTTATTCAGGTGGCGTTATTAACCATTCTAACGGTAATAATAACGGAGATCAAAGATTGTGTTTTCTGTTTTTTTTTTGAACTTTGAAGAAGAAAGGGAAGCTGGAAATAATGTTTCTTATTTTTTCATTTCAATTATGCTATAATTATGTACTCTAAAATCGACTACAGAATCGGTTAATGGGAAATCGATCATTTAGTGCCCAATTTAATTGTCAATCGATTCTGTTACGTTCGATTCGAATCGATTTTTTTTTAGGAAGAATCGATATCCCTAGTCCAGACTTCGAGAAAAACAACATTACGATTAAAAAAAGACCAGTTAAGGGTAACGCATGCAGTGAAGAATATTACGTCAAAGAATATGATTGACCACCATAGGCTCCAGAACTAAGAATGTTTAGTTTCTCAACATAAAACCGTTACTAAAGTAGAAAAAGAACTTGACAATCACTTATCAGTGAATAAACCTTAAAATCCCTAAATTAAAGAAAATAAACGTTTCCGCTATTACATAAGTTCTCTTGCTAGAGTTATGAATACTAGGGAAAATATTTAAATTGCAAGATATTAGCTTTAAAATATTGATTCATATGGAAACAATCGGGTCTGAGAAATTTTAACAGAGTAAAAACAATATTTACTGCATAAAGAAAATATTAAATAAGATATATGTCGGCTAAAATATAGTAAAATGTATGTGAGTGGGTATGTTTGATTAAATTCAGAAACGTCTTTCAGAGTATAAACGGATGTGCATGTTCCTCGAAATAACAGAGTGTTGGTCCTAAAAAGGACCGTTATTATTTTATATGCCTTCGGTATTTAGGCACGTTCTCCACGAATACGGCGAGCCAACTGGATGTCCTTTGGCATGATGGTGACACGCTTGGCGTGGATGGCACACAAGTTGGTGTCTTCGAAGAGGCCGACGAGATAAGCCTCGCTAGCTTCTTGAAGTGCCATCACGGCTGAACTCTGGAAGCGAAGGTCCGTCTTGAAGTCCTGAGCGATCTCGCGAACCAATCGCTGGAAGGGCAGTTTGCGAATGAGCAGCTCCGTGCTCTTCTGATAGCGACGAATCTCACGCAGAGCGACGGTTCCTGGTCTGTAGCGATGAGGCTTCTTAACTCCTCCGGTAGCTGGTGCACTTTTACGTGCGGCTTTCGTAGCCAATTGCTTCCGAGGAGCTTTTCCTCCAGTTGACTTCCGAGCAGTCTGCTTCGTACGAGCCATGTTCACCGAATATTTTCTTTACTGGGAGCGTAGAGAGAACTTCGCACCATAAGATCCAAACGCATTATGGGAGCACCAACTTTGTTCACCCTCTTATAGACTCGCCCGATTGTTCAGCTTGACGCTCATTGGCCAGTCGGTAAGTGGTAGGGATACGCATAGGAGCGAGGATAAATACCCCTCGAATCCTAGCTACTGCATCAGTTCTACGGAATATTTCTTCGAGGGAGTTCCTATTGAATTTCGTTGGTGATAATGACTGGCCGCGGTAAGGGAGGAAAAGGTTTGGGAAAGGGAGGAGCGAAGCGTCACAGGAAAGTTCTTCGTGACAACATCCAGGGAATCACGAATTTACACCATAAAATTCAAATGCAGTATGACCGCGTCTACTTTGGTCACTGACTTATAGACTCGACCGATTGTTGAGCTCGACGCTCATTGGCCAGTCGGTAAGTGGTGGGGATACGCATAGGAGCGAGGATAAATAGCCCTCGAATCCTAGCTACTCCATCAGTTCTACGGAATATTTCTTCGAGGGAGTTCCTATTGAATTTCGTTGGTGATAATGACTGGCCGTGGTAAGGGAGGAAAAGGTTTGGGAAAGGGAGGAGCGAAGCGTCACAGGAAAGTTCTTCGTGACAACATCCAGGGAATCACGAAGCCTGCTATTCGCCGTTTAGCTCGCCGAGGCGGTGTTAAACGCATCTCTGGCCTGATTTACGAAGAAACCCGTGGTGTTCTCAAAGTCTTTCTGGAAAATGTCATCCGTGATGCAGTTACCTACACCGAACATGCCAAGAGGAAAACCGTCACTGCCATGGACGTGGTCTATGCGCTGAAACGTCAAGGACGCACTCTCTATGGCTTTGGTGGTTAATTTGTTTCTCCGATTCTCCGCTACTCTTCGTACACAAGGGCCCTTTTCAGGGCCACAAACTTATTCAATACGTAAATGGAGCAAACCGTTTTACCATAGTATGCACTAGTTAATTTTAATTCGTCACCCCTTTTACAAATCAAAATTTAGATTACATTATGGTTTCCGTTCGAATAATAAGATACCTAATATCTATCTATTATTCTTGCGACAGTGTTTTTAATAAGTTCCATGTTTTATATGTTCTTCTGTTAAGCACGAAGGTTTAGTCTTGGATTTTGATAGCCGTTAAAGTTCATCTTCCTTCTTTACACCACTCATTCAACTCATTTGTAATATATAGTATATATGTAAAATACTGAATTACTTTCTATATTCTCCAGATGGCTTTTATAGGTGTTCGACTTATGCGTTTCAAAATCCGTTGTTTCGACATTTTCGGATTATTTTGTATCTCAATGAATTAAATCTCCACTTAATATTAAGAAGTTGAAAAAGAA